AGATTACGCATGGATCACTGCAAATACTTTCAAATAAAGTAAAAAATAATTTATTTGTGAAAATGATTGGTTTTCCACATTTTTCCTGGATGATCACGAAGCTATTATTTTAGATAATTCAGAAAGATCAACAGGACAAATGTTGCAGCTTGAAGACATCAGTCGACGAATGGAGTAGTTTTTATCCAAACATTTATTTTCTTTTAACTCCACACAGAATATAAACTGGCTCCACACACTCACGGTGCTTCTGCTGCGGTCAGAGTCCGGGTGTAAAGTAAAGTAACGTTCAAGAGACGCCCGTTTCAGAACCTTTCCACATGGTGCATTCAGTGACATCCAGTAAATACCAGTACTCTCAGAAATGAACAATCTAACTAAAACATACACCCAAAATAAAGTGTGGGGTGTCTTTGTACAGTCAAATACACAAAAACAGTAACACAACTAATAATCTCATTTGAACAATGTCTGTATTTCTCACACAAAAACTGTCCAAACATAAATCAGATTCTAGTGACACTAAAGCTGCCTCTTCTGACAGAGAAGCAGAGACAGTAGCAGGAAGTTTGGCATGAATTTTATCCTTTTATTACAATTATTTCATCTATAAAGAATCTCATGAAGTCATCACTACTTAGAGTTATAGGGATACATGGTTCAACAGAGATTGGACTTTTCATCAGTCTAGCTACAGAAACCTGTGATTGTTTTTATTCTCTTCTATTTAAGATGAATAATATACAGTTCTAGCTTTACAAAGGGCTTTCTTATATATTATCAGGATGTCTCTCCAGGTTAAATAAAATTCTTCAACATTAGTGGAGACGGTCTATAAAAAATTGACAGCTGTGATGTTCAAGTTTTATTGTTTATGTATCTTTCCATGTCAGGTTTGCAAATATWATAATCCAATAGAAAAAATCTGAAATTATCAATCAAAACATTCTTTGAAGGGTTGGTTAAAAAAATCGATTGAATCTATCTTGGATCGATTTAATTTGCGATAAATGAACAAATACATAAGCATTTAGTGTTGATATCTTTTAGCTCTGCGTTCAAAGCCAAGAAAACAAACCTAAAAAAACTAATCATTTCCATTCCAGCCTGAAATTTTTTTTTAATATGAAGAGATCCATCCAGCTGACCAAATACATAAAGGGCTTCATTCGACGGACTGGTGAAATACTTCAAGCTTCCATCTGAATGACAAAATGCATAGATGCAAACTTGAGTCAACCATTTATGGCAGTTTATGCAGTTGTTGCGATATGCATATTACACAGTCTGTTATTGCGATAACGATAAATWTTTGATATATTATGCAGCCCTAAGGTGCACCCAAATTTGCAAACACATCACATTTAAATTGATGTTTTAATAGTTCACTTTTTTAAAAATCATTGTCCATTAAGGCAATATTAACTCACAAATGATTTGTTAACAATCTAGCAAAATAAAGTTCTATATTTGAACCAGAATTGTAGACATAACTTACTGAAAAGTAATTTTAAAGTGATTCTATGACCTGAAATTTGACCTTAAACATCAAGATAAATAAAATGAAAGAAATTCTACATTCTAAGTACAAATGTTTAAAAGCTGAACATTTTATAAACATCTTAAACATTTCATGGTTAAATGTCTAAATTTAGACTACACCTGCCCCTCAGATGGGCAACTCCTGTTGTTTGGCCTTCAGGATCTTTGGCCTTTACTAAACCAGACTGATGAACAGAGAATTATGATTAACAGCAGAAATATTACTAATATTTATTAAATGAGAAAAAGCTTTTTAAAATAACGAAAATAACATAACATGAAAAAGTCTTAAATTTTTTTGTAATAGTTGAATTTTATGTATCTCTCATTTAAAAACTAAGCTGTGTAGTCATAAAACCGTTCTCAGTGAGCTAGAATGATCTGCTGCTGCTGCGCTCCCAGAGCAGAGAGCCCGATGGACTTTACTACGGAGACTTAAGAGCGAGCAACCATCCACAWGTTTTGTGCGCGCATGTTTTTGCTTCACGGAGGGGAAGGAAAGTCCTCACAAGGATAGAAGAACAAGCGTGTGTATGTGCGCACGCAGGGTGTAGAGCGGAGCGCTGTGTTCATACTGCTAGATAGTGTTATTACGGGACATTGAGAATTTTATTTTCAGCGGGCAATCACATGCCCCACCCACACTTGGAACGACTGGGCGCACCAGTGCGACCGGAAATATTTTTAAGGCGCACTTTTAAAAAATAAGGTCGCATTTGCGACCAAATTAGTCGCACTCTAGAGCCCTGCATTGTCACATTATATCTTAATGAATTATTTATTCATATAGATATCTATTTCATAATTATTTATTTATTTAATTAATTATGAAAACTTTGGCATTCCATATGTGATCCACAGAACAAAAAGCAACAACACAATGATGTATGAGTGAATATAAATTTGTATTTCTCCGTATTGTCTGCAGGGCTGTGTATTGGCAAGAATTTGGGGATACAATACATATCATGACAGAGGGGTCACAATACGATATATCCCGATATATTGCGATACTGTAAACAAGGCGATATATTGCGATATTTTTGGTCCAAAAATTCTATTAAATAAAAACCTCACTGGAAAAAACAAAAACACACAAAAAAAAAACGAAACGAAAAACCAAAATTCGTCTCAGAAAATTCTAATATTACAGACATACTTTTGATACATTTAGCTGTGTTCTGCTTTGTATGTGTTTTATTTGTTTCATATTTCAACCATGTTTTCAATTATTAGACTAAATTTGCCAATATATATATAGGTCTTTTCCGCTCAGATTCAGCTATCGGAGCATGAAGCTAACTCTCTGGTGCTCAAGAAGTAGAGGAGCCAAATGGCTGGCTCACTGCTGCCACCTTGTGGTCAGAAGCTGAACTACAACACAAAAATGAATGGCTGGCAGGAAAGTTGACATTTTAAACCTTAATAATAAATCAATACAGGGCTTTAGAATATCGATACAGTATCGGGAAATGAAATAACGCGATATTTCAGTGTATCGATATTTTCTTACACCCCTAATTGTCTGTTTCAGTGTTCCCCGCAGATGTTCAGCAGACTCTGCTGATTAGAGTCCATGCTCCTGAGGGAGGAAGGCCCAATATGGACGAGCAGGACCCAGAGCCCCTCCACATAAAGGAGGAACAGGAAGAACTCTGGACCAGATTGGAGGGAGAACAGCTCAGTGTGAAGGAGGAGACTGATGCTACAGAGTTATCATTCACTGCAGTTACTGTGAAGAGTGAGGATGATGAAGAGAAGCCTCTGTTCTCTCAGCTTCATCAGCDMCAAATGGACCACAGAGATGTTCCAACCAGCAGCTCAKCTGACCAGATGAAAGTAGAAGCTGATGGAGAGGACTGTGGAGGAGCAGAAACCTGCAGGAACACAGATCTGAATCCTCATGGAGATGCTTCCAGCTCTTCAGAGACTGAAGTCAGTGAGGAAGATGAAGAGGAGGAGGATGGGAGCAGTCCTGACTCTCAGCTGGGACCCTTGTCAGACTCTGGATCAGAAACTGAAGACAGTGACAAAGACTGGAAGGAGAACGGGGCTCCTGAGCCAGGTGTAAACTGTGTCAACAACAGTTTCAGCTGCTCTGAGTGTGGAAAACAATTTCTCCACAAGCGCTCTCTTCAGAGACACATGACACATCATTCAACAGTAAGACATTCAAACTGTTTGAGTCAAAAGAAAAGTGTCAGAGAGAAGAAACATGTAGAGTCACACAAAGAAGTCCAGACACAACCCAAATCATTTAGTTGTGATGAATGTGGTAAAAGATTTACCTGGAAATCAAATTTATACAGACACATGATAGTCCATACAGGAGAGAAACCGTTTGTATGTGAGTTCTGTGGACTTAGATTTAGCCAGAATGCTAATTTAAACACACACATCAGAGTCCACACAGGACAGAAATCATTTGTGTGTGAGGACTGTGGACATAGATTTAACCGGAAAAGTAATTTAAACGCACACATGAGAGTCCACACAGGACAGAAATCGTTTGTGTGTGAGGACTGTGGACAACGATTTAGCCGGAAGAGTAATTTAAACTCTCACATGAGAGTCCACACAGGACAGAAACCATTTGTGTGTGAGGATTGTGGACATAGATTTAGCCATAAGGCTAATTTAAACTCTCACGTGAGAGTCCACACAGGACAGAAACCGTTTGTGTGTGAGGACTGTGGACATAGATTTAGCCATAAGGCTAATTTAAACTCTCACGTGAGAGTCCACACAGGACAGAAACCGTTTGTGTGTGAGGACTGTGGACATAGATTTAGGGAGAAGGGTAGTTTAAACTCACACATGAGAGTCCACACAGGACAGAAACCATTTGTRTGTGAGGACTGTGGACATCGATTTAGMCAKAAGRGYMGTTTAAACTCWCACATGAGAGTCCACACAGGACAGCTAGTTGAAAAAAGCTAGTGCTTTTCTGATTATTTTTTGTTTTTTCATTTTGAGAAGTAATGCAGAGTACATGACTTATATATTTGTGTTTTCCTATCAGTGCAATAACAAGAAAAACTGAAAAATTGCCAGTTACAGTAAAGAAAAAACATACATAGACATAAAATGTTGGTAGTATTCAGGGTTCAACAAGATTTCTTTTTTTTTTTACCTGCCTGACCCGAGTGTTACCTACCCGACATGAAAGGTTACCTGCCTGAAAACAAATTCAAAGTTTGAAAAAAATATAAGAAATGTGTACTGTACTTGGTACTACAAAAATATTAACATGATTACAGAGGTACATAACATCTGTCATCTGATTAAACAGATGCAAACATTGCAGACTGAGTCACTCACAGTCAGTCAACTGTTTCATCAAAAACATCTTCAAAACCTTTTTTAGACCTTTCCAGTGTTTCCCTGGAGTACTGGCCTTGGGAGGGCTGCTTATAAAAACAATGATCAACAGCAGCAGCTTTGTTTTAAATACAATTTACAGAACATGAAAAAGTCTTCAATTTGCATTAATTTTATCTTATATCCTATCTCATATCCAAAGAGACATTTAAGATCTCTTGAACTGGAGTCTCTTACAAACAAATGATATCTGATGTTATTTATACTAGTCAGAATATAATTAGAAATATCTAAAATAGGTATTTTGCTTTGTCAAAATACAGTATATTAATGCTGTTTATTTTTGTTTCTTTCGTTTATAAAAACAAAATCTTTGCACAGCATTAAAAAAACTAAGTAAATCATACCCTGAATTAAGAGTGCAGAGT